TGACAAACTCCTCGAAGGGGATGAGGGGTTTTCGACAGTCCGAGGTACGAATGCCCAGTTCCGTCTCCAGCGGATCCACCCGAGGGCCTTTCTTATTGCGTCGTTCCTCGCCGAGCAGCTCCTGCAGGGTCAGCTCACTGGACTCCGGGATCGGTTCATCATCCTCCTCCTCGTTGTGACCCATGTCTAGGTCGCCGCCCAGCACATTTGCATAGTAGACGATTTTCAAGCACTTGGTGGCTGCCACCACACCATCATCCTCATTGACCAGGTTGTCGCTGCTGAACTCGTTGCTGATAACCGTGTAGGTAATAAGCTGCTGGAAAGTCTCGACCAGACGTCGGATCTGGTCTGCGCTGTACTGCGACCACAACCGCGCAAGCTTGGCCAGAGCCGGAAGAGGTAGCTTGCTCATTGCCTTGCAGAATTGCGGCAGGGCGATTTCTAAGTATTCTGGACTGTGGAGGTTAATGTTCTCCATGACGATGATGAAGACGTTCAGGTAATTAGAGTCAGCGGCGTACACGTTGTGATAGGTGAGGTCACACTCTACATTGGGCGACAGGTAGACTAACGCATTGAGGAATGCTGCTTCAATCTTCTCATTCGATAATAGTCTGTCGTACACTCTTCTTACAGCCTCAATGTCTACAGAAACTTCTATGGGACCCAACTTTTGGACGTTGTTTTCTCCGTGAGAAGGCCCGTCTGCACTTGACGCAGAGGCTTCGGGTTCCACCTCCATGGCTGTGGACGAACCAGAGGCCGTTTCTTTCTCATCTTCATCTTTGTCCTCATCCTTGGCCTGAAGGGACTTGAGCTCTTCCTTGGTGTGTTGTTTGGCCTTGCGGAAACTCTGGACCAGACTCTCCGCGCTTGAGAAAACCCTACCGATGACACGGATTAGAGGAGAATAGTCCTCGGTCTCACTGCAGAGGCTCAGGATTTCATACACCTTCTCCTCTGTCAAGTAATTCAGATCTGCCGAAGAACACGGTAAAGAATATTTAATCATTTGCGTGGTAAGGCAAAGGTATGATTCAGAAAGTAGCTTGAAATTGGATTCGGGATTAAGGTGATGTTGTGACAGAGACATTAGCTGTACCTCAGCAAAGTTGTGTTTTTTATTATTATTTTAATCTTAAACTTGCTTTGTTTGTCTTTTTTTCACCTTCATAGTGTGAATGCCTTTTTTGCAAATTTTCACCTATCAGAAAGAAGTTGGAAGTTGGAATCGGGGGGGGAGGGTGTGGTAAACTTACAGCACTTAAAGGGGTCATATGATGCTTTTTTAAAGATCATTATTTTGTGTATTTGTTCTTCAATACTGAATATTTACTAGAAAAATGCGATGCTCTGTTTGCATAACTGAGAAATACTTCAATAATGATAGTTAATTCAATTAATAATGAATTTACTAAATAAAAATGAGTAATTAGGTTTTAAAAGTGTGTTCAATAGCACATTCATGTTATCAAAATCATAAAATGTCATATTTGTATATATATATATATATATGTGGTTTGTTTTAGGATTTGTATTCCTTTTTTAAATTATTTTCTTGCTTTTTTTTTCTCATAACAAAGCATTTGGAAACTACATGATGTGATCGAGCTTTCGCAGTGGCTGGCCCAAAGTTGTGGAACAACTTACCACTGCGTGTTAGAACTGCTTCTACATTAGCTGAATTTAAATCCATGCTTAAAAATCATTTTTTTCTCTTGTGCTTTCAAACTTTTGCAATTCTATTGTGTTTCCTGTTTTTACTTTTTGTTTTTTACTGTTATGTACAGCACTTTGGCCAACCAAGGTTGAATTTAAATGTGCTTTATAAAATAATATTTGATTTGATATAAGTTCTAAAAAAAAATTCAAGAAATATCAATTCTATTGAAATTCTGCAATCGTGATAACGCTGTTCACCTCTAAAGTCCTCCCTTGTGGGTTGTAGGTCCTTATGGTTCATCTTCCCGTTGCTGCAAGCAGAGAACTTGTGAGCTCCTTTGGCACTGTTCTCTGGGAAGGCTGAACTGGCTCCTTTCTTAGAGGGATGAGGATCACACAGTTTGGCATTATTCTTATATAACTCCAGGGCCTTGATGGCCGCTGCATTGTTATCCATGCGCTGGAAACCTGGAGAAGAGCCACAAGCCTCATTCGTGCAGGCCTCATTTCCACAGCCCTCTGTTAACTGGTGGTAGTAGCGCTCAATTAAATGTTTTGCAGCCGCTCGCTTCCTGTATCAGACATTCAAACAGGGCAGCAAGGGGATTAGTATGGTTCAATCCCAAAATAAATTCACAAAAGTGCAAATATTTCTCTACTAATCAAACTCAAATAAAACCATTCATTTGAATTTCTCAACAGCCTTCAAAACATGTTGACTGTTGCAGGTACACATGAAAATACTTTCAAAATGATGGAAAAATCAAGCATTATACTTACATTTTTTTAAAGAGAATTATTAATCTGAAACAAATGATTGGAATATCTATTATGCAGCTACTTATTGTTAGTAGCCATGCCTTCAAAATTCTTTTTGCACGGACACGGACAAAATATCATGCACTGATCTGTCACAACAGAAAACATTCAATGCACATTTGTGTCTTCATATCCTCACTGATTTGATATCAGTCTAATATAAAGGCACACAAAATGTTTCAGGTTCAATAAGTTGCTCTATTGACAGCATTTGTGGCATAATATTGAACAATGCTGAAAATAAGTGACTCATCTCTCAGTTTGCAAAAATTTAATAAATAAATACAAATCAGTAACAGTAACACTTACAGAACTTACAATGGAAGTAAATAAAAGTCAGCTTTTCTTGGGGTTTACAATAATATTTGAAACGTGTATTTTTATTACGGCTTTAACAGGATTATTCATCAAAAACTGCTTATTTGATTTGTACCTAAAGTATGCTTTTTGGAATGAGACTTTACTAGGTGGATGAATTTCTGTCTACCTGTCACCACCGTAATTCATGTCAACACATATACTGTAACCTTGAGGTCTTATGGCTATACTTTTAAAACAGTGCATATATTTCATGTTCATTGCTTGTCTTTACTTCCAAGTGTTTTACTGTAAACATGATTTCTCCTTTTTTTAACTAAGGGACCAGATTCTGGTTGAAATGAGTGGATTTTGATGGCAAAATTCTGCCTAGTATTGGTAAATGTGACCACACCTTTATGATAATGAAGAATTAGCTTATTCTTAAATGGATAGTTCAACCAAAAATGAAAATTCCATCATCATTTACTCAACCTCTAGGTCTAAACCTGTATGAATTTTTTTTTTCAGCTGTTGAACACAAAAGAAAATATTTTAAAGAATATTGGTAACCAAACAGTTGACTTCTATAGAAAAAAATACTATGGAAGTCAATGGCTACTGTCAACATTTTAGTTACCAACATTCTTTGAAATATCAGCAGGAGAAATAAACTCATACAGGAACAAGTGGAGGGTGAGTAAATGATGACAGAATTGGGTGAACTATTACTTTTATGCAAACTGCAGAATGGAGTCAGTAATCTGGAAACTGGCTATGCATGCTGAGAAAATGTGAAAAATAAATAAATAAATAAAGAACACACACAACAATCTTACCAATCAGCAAGTTCGGTGAGTATTTCAAGTTAAGGAACCCATTAAAAACAAAAATTTCAAGTTGAAAAACACAAGGTATAAACAAAGAAACTTACATTAGACTTGCTTAAAGTTTGCAATATCACACTCTTCTGCGGCTCTGAACTGAACAAAGAGACCAAAAGGTGGTCAGGTAGCAATCCTGCAGATGAACAGAGAACGGTCACTCACACACATCAAAAACTTTACTGCTGTACAGACAATATCCACAGATGACTGGGAACAGTTCACTTAATAATGACCGATAAAAGGGATAGTTCTTCCAAAAATAAAAACGACCACATTAACTACTGATCATAACTGCTCAAGGTGATTGAGAAACATTGTACTGTGTGTAAACACGAACCTATACGTGCATCACGGTCAGAATGTCACCATGGACAGTGACTTAAAACCAAGCGAGCTGCCTACCTAGACTTTATTCTGGAACCCTACGATGTCCAAAAATGCTGTCTAGGTAGTCAGCGCACTAGTTTTTGACACACAGTCCATGTGACCGCAAGAAGAGCAGCAACATAAACCTAAACAGAGGCCCGAACTAAAAACACACTGTGTGCTTTCGCAATGAAAACATCCTGTGTACCGGTAAACAGTTGTTTACCCCGAGCAGAAGGAGGGGAGGCCGCAAAGGGGCAGGCAGGGGGTATGACAGTGCACAAACAACTTCAGCCTTGCACACGCAGTCAATCTCCTACAGCTCATTTTAAAACGAACGAACACAGACCTTATGCTCATGATTACAGTGAGATAATGATTGGTGCGCTTAAGGCAGAGTGAGGGCAGCAAATCGTGTAACCTTGCAGTAACTGTCATGTGGAGTAACAGCAGGAAAGAGCAGAGTACGTTAACTAGTTAGCCTAGCTGCAGTTAACCACCGTCTGACATTTCAAAGACACAGACAGATTTTACTTAACGGTTATTATTGCGTAATCAAAGGCGAGGAAGTATTTAGGATATCGGGACTAAACAGATTTCGCTTGTTTACCAGAAACCCCCTCCGTCCCTCCCCGGAGCTGTTAGCAGCGCGGCTAACTGGCCTAACAGCGCTTATTACGGCTTCGAACAAGCGCGATCGGGGTGGGAGAGGTGTAATTCATGTTTTGACAGCTTACTTCTGAAGATGTTCTGATGCGGACAAATGAATCTGGTCGCTCAACATCACAATTGCTCCGAATGCGGCGTGTATTCAACTCCAACCCCTCCACAAAATATTCGCGGCCATCTTGATCTACTGAGGCAAACACGAAGAGCGATCCCACAATGCAGTGCGGCACGAGGACGACCATCAGTATAAAACCCACGGCACAGCGACGTTCTGGCAGTTAGTCAAGATCAGTGAGATGTGTTGAAAAGTGATAAAACGTTGAAAATTGTATTCATGAGCTCAAATTAACAAAGCCTTGAAACACTCACGACATTTAAAAAAAAATTTTTTTTATACATGAATATTATATTATATATAATATAATTATACATATACACTGAAAGGAAAACTTAAGGAAACTAGATTTGCATTTGCTGAAGGAAATACCAGTGCTTTTCTTGCTAGTAGTGGGATTTTGATTCAGCTCAGTGATTCGAATCTTTTTTAGTCAGTTCACCAAAAATATTCATTTATTGACGAGTTCAGTGGTACCTGCAGATTACATTGTTACGCCAGTAGGGGGCGACGGTCACACCAATGATAACTATAACTACAAAGTTTTATCAATCATTCTAATTCTATGAGATTAGGAATGTCCACACCACAGCTGTAATACTGTTGGAATCACTTTCAGATTTTTTATTTTTATTTTTATTTTATTTCTTCACAGTTGATGAATGATAAAACAACTGACAGTCTATCAGAATCCATCAACCCCCAAAGAAGCATTTAAAGTGGCAGACACATAACTGCACATTTGGAATAAAAAAGGTTATCGTCTGTTGGTGTTGACGCTGTTATGGTTATAGTTATGCTACTTAGCTACCAGGGAATGTTCCCATAACATTCACTAACATTATTTGACAGTTATGTAAATGTTAGGACAAAATGTTCTGAAAATGATGTTAATGGACCAATCTTATTTATTTAAAGTTGTCTTACTTACAACTTTATTATGTTGTCTCTTGATGATGAGATAAAACATTCTAAACATTCTCTTTTCAGCACATCCATTTGATGTCATTTGTACTTAATGAATGTTTGAGAGTTTGAAAAAAACATTTCTCAGAAAAACATTATTGGAACATTGTTATGATGTTATTTTTATTGTTATTGGTAATGGCTCTTTAGTGAGTTATTGAATAATTTATTCAACTTTCACAACCCTGATTGCACACGTAGGCCTACATCACGGAGATGACAGTTTGACGTCTGCATTTCCATCTGCAAGATGTTTTTTTTTAGAGTGTTGGCTCATCTACAATACGTCGATAGGACGTTTCCTATCAGATGTCAAATAGACGTTTAGAAAATGCCTTTAAGATGTTTATGATTTAGAATGTATGTAAAACTGACATCTTAAAGCGTCTATCAGATGTTTGTACACAGCAGATGCTTTCCAGATGAAGTGATCTTTAACAGACATCTTGTAGACATACGTGTGCTATCTGGGAAGAGACGGAAGTCTTTGTGTATCTGCAAATCTACTGAGAGACTTCAATAACAGTCACAATTCAGCATGCAAATACTGCGATGATATATCATTGCTGTTTTGAATGCTGAGCATTCTGTCAGTATAAAGGTGCATTCAAACCAAGAATGATAACTATAAAGACAATTATAACAATAACTATATCAGCTCTGTTTATTATTAGTGTGTGCTGCAGTTATGTCGTCTGTTGCTTTAAATGCTCAGGTGGATTTTGATTGGCTGCCAGTGTTTTTATTGTTCATCAGCTGGAAAAAAAAGGTCCTGAAAGTGATTTCAACAATATTGATCCTTTGTGTTGTTATCGTTATAGTTGTTGTGTGGACGTCCTCCCAAACATAGAACGATTATTAAAACTTTGCTATTGTTATTGTTATAGTCATCGTCCTTAGAAATCAGTGTAATTTAAAAAATATTTCTTGAAATGATTGAAATTACAAAAATGGAGAATGCCACTCATAAGCCTGAAATGATTTAATAGACAAAGTTTGAATAGAGACTGCACATTCAATGGTTCGGGCTGAATTTATTGCAGAAGTTTGAAACTTATGTTTACGGGTTTAGGGGAAAAAAACCCTAACCAGAATGTTTGAAGTATATCAATACAGCGCTATCTTGCAAGCACTGTAATAAAATAGCTGTGAATAACCCAGCTTGAATAATGGAAGCACAAACTGAATAGCTACCTATTTACTGGTTTCCGAGACATTGAAGTCTGTTCCTGTATCGACAGCCTATCACACGACCCTATTCACATCTCACTAGCCTTTTACAGCTGCAAGCAGCAGCAGCAGCAGCAGCAGCAGCTGTAAAAGACTTAATTACCATTTATTGATCTGAGCTTTTGTTCTTTATCTAACAGTGTAACACAGATTTATCAATTTGCTCAGACGTGCAAGAAAAATCTCCATTTCTTAACAAAAAATGCAAAGCATATGACACAAGCCATCACTGAATACAAGATCTGTGTATTACAATAACATGATGGTATGACTGCAGTGACCAGGAACATTTTAGAGTCAGCACTGCTACAATGCAACATGGGAAAAATGTTAGATCTTTGAACATCTGACTCTTATCCCAAGCTGTTCATCACTGTAAAATGCATGAACATCACCCGTTAGATTACACATGCATCCCGCTGTGTGTTTTGCTTATCTCACAGACCTGCAAGAAAATCACAATTTTCTTCTGAAAGAGACAAGAGACATCCTATAAATTCAGAGGAAGCTCTTGTGGGCTTGAATAATGGAAAAGGTTACTGTTTATGATGATGCAGCTGTGGAGAATGAGGATCTCATGAATATAAACAGCTGTTTAGCCCGGAGTCAACACGGTTTGAGATCCCACCCCACTCATACAAATCTGCCGAAGCATTATGAGATGGAAAGACTGAACTAATCTAAAGTTGTCGTGCAGCATTTCTATTGAAAACAAGAGGCGAAAACAATTGATATTTTTTTAACACACAGACTAGGCATATGTTCACAAAATATTTGTGAAACTAGCATGTCTATGAGATGCCCGCACTAAAGATTCGAAAAATATTTTGTCCTCAATTTAAAAAAAAAAACTATTTTGATTTGTAAAATTAAGTTTTGATTCGTTTATAAAGCATGCTTAACAACAAAACTAACCAAAGGGCAAAACTTATATAACTACCGTTCAGAAGTTTCTTATGCTCAACAAGGCTGAATTTGTTTGATCAAAAATACAGTAAAAAATTTAATATTGTGAAATACTAATTCAAAAGAACTGCTTTCTATTTTAACGAAGAGTTATTTAAAATTTTAATAATATTTTACAATATTACTGTACACTCTTAAAAATAGAGGTTCTTTATTGCCATATTATATATAATATAATTATACATATACACTGAAAGGAAAACTTAAGGAAACTAGATTTGCATTTGCTGAAGGAAATACCAGTGCTTTTCTTGCTAGTAGTGGGATTTTGATTCAGCTCAGTGATTCGAATCTTTTTTAGTCAGTTCACCAAAAATATTCATTTATTGACGAGTTCAGTGGTACCTGCAGATTACATTGTTACGCCAGTAGGGGGCGACGGTCACACCAATGATAACTATAACTACAAAGTTTTATCAATCATTCTAATTCTATGAGATTAGGAATGTCCACACCACAGCTGTAATACTGTTGGAATCACTTTCAGATTTTTTATTTTTATTTTTATTTTATTTCTTCACAGTTGATGAATGATAAAACAACTGACAGTCTATCAGAATCCATCAACCCCCAAAGAAGCATTTAAAGTGGCAGACACATAACTGCACATTTGGAATAAAAAAGGTTATCGTCTGTTGGTGTTGACGCTGTTATGGTTATAGTTATGCTACTTAGCTACCAGGGAATGTTCCCATAACATTCACTAACATTATTTGACAGTTATGTAAATGTTAGGACAAAATGTTCTGAAAATGATGTTAATGGACCAATCTTATTTATTTAAAGTTGTCTTACTTACAACTTTATTATGTTGTCTCTTGATGATGAGATAAAACATTCTCTGAACAACATTTTCAGCACATCCATTTGATGTCATTTGTACTTAATGAATGTTTGAGAGTTTGAAAAAAACATTTCTCAGAAAAACATTATTGGAACATTGTTATGATGTTATTTTTATTGTTATTGGTAATGGCTCTTTAGTGAGTTATTGAATAATTTATTCAACTTTCACAACCCTGATTGCACACGTAGGCCTACATCACGGAGATGACAGTTTGACGTCTGCATTTCCATCTGCAAGATGTTTTTTTTTAGAGTGTTGGCTCATCTACAATACGTCGATAGGACGTTTCCTATCAGATGTCAAATAGACGTTTAGAAAATGCCTTTAAGATGTTTATGATTTAGAATGTATGTAAAACTGACATCTTAAAGCGTCTATCAGATGTTTGTACACAGCAGATGCTTTCCAGATGAAGTGATCTTTAACAGACATCTTGTAGACATACGTGTGCTATCTGGGAAGAGACGGAAGTCTTTGTGTATCTGCAAATCTACTGAGAGACTTCAATAACAGTCACAATTCAGCATGCAAATACTGCGATGATATATCATTGCTGTTTTGAATGCTGAGCATTCTGTCAGTATAAAGGTGCATTCAAACCAAGAATGATAACTATAAAGACAATTATAACAATAACTATATCAGCTCTGTTTATTATTAGTGTGTGCTGCAGTTATGTCGTCTGTTGCTTTAAATGCTCAGGTGGATTTTGATTGGCTGCCAGTGTTTTTATTGTTCATCAGCTGGAAAAAAAAGGTCCTGAAAGTGATTTCAACAATATTGATCCTTTGTGTTGTTATCGTTATAGTTGTTGTGTGGACGTCCTCCCAAACATAGAACGATTATTAAAACTTTGCTATTGTTATTGTTATAGTCATCGTCCTTAGAAATCAGTGTAATTTAAAAAATATTTCTTGAAATGATTGAAATTACAAAAATGGAGAATGCCACTCATAAGCCTGAAATGATTTAATAGACAAAGTTTGAATAGAGACTGCACATTCAATGGTTCGGGCTGAATTTATTGCAGAAGTTTGAAACTTATGTTTACGGGTTTAGGGGAAAAAAACCCTAACCAGAATGTTTGAAG